ATGGGGCGGGGGGGAGATTTGTAACTTATAGTGATGGTAGGAATTGATTAATTATCCTTAAATCCTAAAAATGTACATGATTGATAATTTTTATATATGAGATAATTATAGTGAAACTTGAATAGGGAGGGCAATAAAATTTTCAATAGTGTATAAGTATGCAAAAATCTCTTTTATATTTTAAATTTTCTTTTTATTTTGTAGTTAGATCCATTTAAATTTGGTTTAGGTCGGTTCGGGTCCAAAGTTGAAGCTAAAAATTTCAAGTCAGCTCTACACTTTATTCTTCACCGCCTTCACTTTCACTTCCTCTGAAGTGACTGCAAAAATCTTCAAAAACCAAACCTTTCTTCACCATAAACCCTACTGTTCTCCTCCCCTACAAGTTTCTCGAACCTCATAGCAGAACCAAATCCCCTAAATTTTCTCCTCTAAAGTTCAAAATTCAAATACACCAATAATGACAAAGGTTTACGGTACCGGAACCTACGATTTCCGGCGCCACCGCGTGGCTGAGTACCCGGTGGAAGCATTACCGCAGCCGGCGGAGCAAATGCTGCCTTCCGTAACAGACAGGCCGCCGGAGTCGAAGCCCGGTTCGAACATTCCTAGCTCCATAACCCTTGCTGAGATCCAGCGCGACCGCTTGACTAAAACCGCTGCTTCTAATTGGGCCAAAACTGGGGAGAAGAAGCCCTTTAGTCCTGAGCTCGTCAAAGAAATTTATGACACGGAGCTCACCGTAAAAGGTTAGTTGTTGAAATTAGAAGAAGCGTTTTAGTGTTTGTGTTTTTATTCTTAAAAAGTAAATGATGATCAGTATGCGTTTCGAGTTTCGACTGAGGTCTGAAAGTCAGTCAACAAAGGACTAAATTTTATAAAAACATATTTGGATATACGAGTTTCTATTGTTTCTGTTAATGTCTGTGTCTAGTAATATATTTATGCATGTGGCACCCAAGTGTGTGGCCCTGTGGTCAATGAAGTGGGTGGAGAACCATGAGCTCCCAGAATCCCTTTGGAGATAACAAACCCTAGTTGATTTCTTCCCATCTGTCCAAGCTGCCTTGGTGGATAGAGTTACCTGGTACCTGTATCGGGAGGTAGCAGGTACCCGGTGAAATAGTCTAGTTATGGACAAGCTGGCCTTGACATTGCTGTCATAAAAAAACAGATATATGTATGTGCATATGCATATGGTGGTATGTGATGATGACTTGTGATTAGGCGGTCATAGAAATAAATTCTGATTGATGATATTTGATTTTGGTTTGTGTAAAGGGGGGAGAAAGACGGTTCCTCTGCAGAGGGTGATGATATTGGAGGTTAGCCAGTATTTGGAGAATTATCTTTGGCCCAATTTTGATCCAGAGGCTTCTTCCTTTGAGCATGTGATGTCAATGATACTGATGGTCAATGAGAAGGTATGATATTTTTAACTACTTTTGGACTCGTCTAAGTTACTTGGAATTTCTGGTTACTTGTTAGGGTGCTCACAATAACAAGGCAAAGCTATTATGCACAGAGATGATGCATGTTCTTACCATGTTTTTGCAAAAAGCAACTTATAATACTATACATCCTCTACTAAAATTGTCTGCCATCTGATAGCATCTGTTACTGCACAACACTTACAGATCACACCTTTCTCCAAGAGAAAGCTTTGAAAGAAAGCTTCCACTTCTTCAACATCTCTGTGTTATTACGGTCTCCTAAAAGAAACATCCAAAGTCACCTTTGTTCCGCCTTCTTAATAGTTGAGCTACGATGGAATTCTTGTAATTCGTAACAACATATAAATTTGGGAAATCTTCTTTCAGAGTTATGTTTTTTACTTCTTACCCTTTGCTACCAAAAATCCCGTGAAGCATTTTAATGTCATTTTCTCCTTCATAATCCCTTTCCACGCATTTGTCCTATGTGTAAACATTTCCTTAAGAACCATCCATAAATCCGTCCATCTTTTGTTTGATTACAACCATACTTCATATGTACACTATGATATTCATGTCTTTCAAAATCTCAAAAATGCAATTCAGTTAGGGATTGGACTCCTTTTATCGATTTTGAACTTCTGGCAGTTAGAGCCCATATAGTTGTTTCTTCACATGCAAATCTGCACAACCACGTCTCCATCAATGCTCAGGTATAAATTTCCAGCATAAGAATACTCAACACGCCCACTAAAATTGGAGCTGTAACCCTGTCCCAACTCTGAAACTATCAAAAGAATCTTACAAGACCTTGTTAGCTTTGAAAAATGAGTTTTAAAAAATCCAAGTGAAGACCTATACAAATGTCTTTCAAAATATAAAAGAGTCAGCTCTACAGTACTGAAAAATCTGCTCTCAGGCACACTCCCCGAGGAGCCTGAGAACCTGGAATTTTGAGTCCATACATACACCATCGGAGAGCCACTACTGACGCAAGCCAACCCCTGCAGACAGCTCCGCCATCAGATCTCCACCACGCGGCCAAGCACCGACGAGCACTCCACCACGCGCCGACGTGTGAGACTGCTCCGGGCATCTTTTCAACTGTTTTCTTCAGGACAGCATCTTCAGCACCCTATTCCAACCCAACCCATCCGGGCGGTTCTAGATTCCGATCACCTTTACTTTTCTCCGGCGACGGGAAGTTTTTTTTTGGCCATTTTTCAATCATTTTTCAGTCAGCTGCAAAACAAAATTCTCTTCTTCCTCTCAAGTCTGCAGAATACCATTACAGGGAGCTTCTCAACGGAGCCAAACATCTCCTTCTTCGGAATCAGTATTCACCCACTGTGATTACTACCAAACACCCTCTATAATTTTTATAACCTGAGCAGCTGGTGAGTACAATATGGGAGACAGTAGGATATACTTCAACGCTGGATTCAAATCTTTCGACATCACCAAATGGAACTCCAACAAAGATATATGGTTTGAATGGGTGGAGAGAAGCCGCAACATGATGAGACGCTTATCCATGGATAGAAAGACAATGGAATGGATTTGCTTTGTACTTAAAGAAGCCTTGACAGATCAAAAGAATTTAGTGAAGAGATGGAAGTATAAGGAACAAATGACAGAATATTTATGCACTAGGAAATTTAACGCTCATGGAAGATATATTCTATCACTAAAGGGAGAAGGGAGGTCAGTTATTATAATCCCAGAGAGCTTTGAATGTAGGCTGGAAAGACATAGCAGCTAAGATAGAAAGATTCATCTATCATGTCCCCAAGCTGAATACCACAGTACCACCCAGAAACACTGTGGACAACTATCCTTATGTCAAAACAGTTAAGGAGAGTAAATGGCAATCCAATACCCTTCGAGAGGCAAATGTCTGTACAAACAATGAAGATATCTCTGTTTTGGAACCTTCAGGAGCGGAGGACACAAGTTTACTAAAAAGATGCATTATTGGGTATTTTGGGAAAGAAATCACTGAGGGACCCACTTTAGCAGACATAAGGCGATGAGCTACTGCTTCATGGAACAAAGCATATGGAGTCAACATGTATGACATGACTAGCAACATGTTTCTATTTGAGTTTCCGAACAGATACATGGCTGAGTAGATTCTCCAAGGAGATTGGAGATGGAAAAAGTTCAAGCTTCATCTGGAATGGTGGAACTACACTGCTGGATGCATTCCAAACTCTCAAATTGTGGAAACATGCTGGATTAAAGCCATCCCTTCTATGGTCACAGAAGATCTTCAAAGAAATAGGAGATCTTTGTGGGGGATTGATAGCTACTGTAGAAGAAACTGATCTCAAAAATCACCTTAAGTGGGCTAGAATTCAAATTGTTGGTGATGGCAGAAAGATTCCTAATGAGATTGGGATTGAAAGAGAAGGGATCAAATTTTTCATCCCAATATGGGCTGAAAAACAGGCAAGATTTGAGCTGAAGTCGTCGGAAAACACACATAGCCTTGGAGCAGAGAGAAACATGGGCGACCAAGTGGGATGCACCATATTGCAAAATAATAATAAGGGAAAGGCACGAGTGCAACATACGCAAGGTCCAAGTTCGACAGATCTGAGCATGAATGCGGTGAATAATGAGCTGAAATCATATGAGTCTGATTTCGCTGCACAAGTCATTTTTAATGATCTCGTGTGTGAGGCCACTGAAGAATTAGGCTGACGCCTTATATTGAGGAACTGGGGTGCACCTCTTACTTAAAAGTCAGAATCCAATCCAGGGGATCCAATTTCCATTGCAAACCTTGAAATTATGCCACATGCAACACATATAAGTTGCGATCAGCTAGAAGGTGAAGCAGAGATAAGAATACTGGGACAGAAGGCAGGGGAGCATACCATAAACAAAAAGATAGGGGAAGATCAAGTTGAAAATGCATTGGAGCACCAACAACAGCTAAAGCACTTCAACTCTATCCAAGATTGGGAAATCGAGGAGGTTACTCCTATATTAGTACAACAACACAATCCAGTAATGGATAAAGAGATGGATGCAATACTGTGGGTCCATCAAAATATGATCAAATTGGGAAAAATGTTTGGAGTAGATTTTCAAGGACACGAAGAAGAAGCATTGGAGTTACTAATGCAAATTGACAGTTGCAGACAAGTTAGAAGAGTGGAGACAAATATGGAGGTGAAGAAACAAAGGTTCAAAGGCTCACTGGAATTAAAAGGATTAACCTCCTTTGATGGGAAAAAGAGTAGGGGAAGAGATCTTTCTATTATTGCAATACGAAGATCAATTTAATTTCATGGAATGTTAGGGGATTAAATGACAAGAAGAAAAAGGAGATCATAAAAAGTCAAGTGCTGAATTGGAAGGCAGACATTATCTGTATGCAAGAGACAAAAGTGGAGGGGGATATCAAGGAAATAGTCAATCAAATTTGGGGTGGGAGATGGGTGAGGTACGCATGTTTAGAAGCTAGCGGCACGAGAGGGGGGATTTTGTTACTATGGGATTGCAGAGTATGGAAAGGGGAGGTGTTACAGACTGGTGCATACATTTTGACATGCAAGTTCGAGGCTCTTTTACAGAATTTTCAATGTCATATAACAGGAGTGTATGCACCAAATTGCAGAATAGAAAGAAGAACAGTATGGAGAGAAATTGGTGCAATGAGGGGATTGATGGAAGACCCTTGGGTAGTCTGTGGTGATTTTAACGTCACAAGGTACCCTTCTGAAAAACGGGAATGTTCGAGGAGGTCCAGAGAGATGGTGGAATTCTCGGATTTTATAGAAGACATAGAGTTGATAGATCTTCAACTCGAAGGAGGCTACTATACTTGGTTCAAAGGGGATAATCATACAACCGCGTCTAGAATTGATAGATTTCTCATTTAAGAAGAATGAGATGAAAGCTTCAGAAATATCAAGCAAACTCTCCAACAAAGGCTGATTTTTGACCATTCACAAGTGGCTCTATGCTTTGGTGCCTGGGAACAAGCTAAATCATACTTTAAGTTTGAAAATTGGTGGCTGAACGTGGAAGG